ATGTCCCACATCCACAAATCAGCCAACAACAAATGCTGGAGGGGATGTGGAGAAAGAGGAACCCTATTACACTGCTGGTGGGAATGTACACTTATACAACCACTTTGGAAAGGAGTCTGGAGGGTCCTTAGAAAGCTAAAGATTGATTTCCCTTATGACCCAGTCATACCACTTCTAGGCATCTACCCTGAACAACAGGAACCAATATACAAGGATATGTGCGCCTCCATGTTTATTTTGCAGCACTGTTCACAATAGCTAGGATATGGAAACAACCCAGATGCCCCACCACAGATGAATGGATCCAAAAATTGTGGTATCTATACACAATGGAATATTATGCAGCCATTAGAAATGACAAAATAATGGCATTTACGGAGAAGCGAGGTAAGCCAAGAGCAAAGAGACAAACGGTACATGGTCTCCCTGATAAGTGGATGCTAAATCCAAAATGTTAGGTGATACGACAAAATTAACAGGACTTAAGAAACAAAGAACTTCTACTCATCTGGTCGAACCACTACTAAATATGCCCATGCTGCTGATCACATGTATGGTGTATATGTGTACACCGTTATATGTTATAGACCATGATAGACAATTTGCTCCAGGAAAGTTAGAATGAACTTGTGACTTTAAATGAGCATCATTATTCCACAATACTGTGAAATTTTGGAAATTATGTAATCACTTAATCACAATTTAAAAAAAAAAGAACCTCGGGGAAGGTAGGGAGAGAAGGGATGGTAGGAGAAAAACAATGGAGGGGGTAACAATGCTCAATAGGAAGTGTACTCATTACCTTACTCATGTAACTGTAACCCTCTGTATAGTATCTTTACAATAAAAAATTTTTAAAAAAAGGAAATGGTTTGGAAGTGAAGGGAAAATAAAAGGGCAAGAGAGAGGGTAAATATTAGAGAAATACATTATATATACTCATGAAAATAGCATAATGAAACCCACTAATAATTATTACAAAGTAGGAGGATGAGGGAGAAGAGTGATACAGATAAATTTCATCAAAGTATATTATATGCATGTTATAAATATCACAAAGAAAGCCTTTGTATCATTTATGCTAATAAAAATGTATGAAATCATGTCATTTGTAAGAAAATGGGTAAAACTGAAGATCATGTCAAGTGAAAGAAGCCAGCTTTTGAAAGACAATAATTTTCAGGTTTTTTCTCATATGTTAGAAGGGGGACTATTTGAAAAGAGGTCAATAAAAGTAGGGAGAGAGACAACAGAGGGGAATGGAGGGGTGAATATGATCAAAGTATATTATATACATTAAGAAAATGTCACAATGAAACTCATAACTGTGTACAATTACCACACGCTAATACAAAATAATTATCGTATGCATTCTTCAAATAATTTAGGACATTTTTGCTTTATTTTGCTTTGTCTTTAATTTAGGCTTTTCCTCTATTCATCTGAAATTTATTTGTGCATGAGGCATGACCTCATTCTCTGTTGGGCATGTATTTATTTGGTATCTAACATTGTGGTGGAAAACTGTCTAGTGATATTTTGAATACTGATCTTCCCTCATCTGTTTAAAATGTTACTTTTGTCATATTCCAAACTTCAATTTACAGGTTAATTATATCAGGCTTTTTCCTGTGGATCATTGCTATTTGTCTTTCCACATCATATTTACCAATTGAAGCTCTCCATATGTCCAGATCTCTATTGTTAATCTCTCACTTTGTTTTCTATCCTAAAAATACACTCACTTTTCTTGTATATTTGCATTTCCACATGTGTCACATAATCATTTTGTTAGACTCTATGGAAAGTCCTTCAAAGACTTATAATGGAATTGCATTCAATTTTTATATTAATTGGGAAATATCTAGCCATTATTTTCTATAGTTCATTTATTTTAAAGATTATTTTACATATAACTTCTAGACTGAAGCATATAATAATGATCTAATATTTAAATTATAACTTTTGTGTCATTTTTGGAAATTATAATTCAAATTTCAGTAGGTGTTATAAAAATATAGTGGACATATACAGTATAAAAACTTAGATAATTAAGAAAAACAATGATCAGTTCTATAAGTGAATTTGCATTTAGTGCTCTAAATAACAGGAGTACTGTTTATATAATACTGATGATCTTCAGAGTGCATTACCATCTTTATCCAATTAATAGGTTTATAGAAAGCCTGTTGTGTTTTTCAAGGCTTTAAATGGCATTTCTATGGTACAGAACCCCAGTTAAGTCCAGAGCGTACATGTTTCTTCTCCATGAGCATGCTTCAGCAATTCTTTAAGCAATACAAAATGTCAAAGGGTATATCATTCAAACATTTGGGGGAGAGAGAACAGTACTAAGATTTGAACTGAGGGTCTGGGGCTTGCCAAGCAAACATTCTACCACTGGAGCTACAACCCTGACTGTTTCTCTACTTTTTATTTTTGCTTTTAGACAGAGTCTACTGCTTTTTGCCCAGGCCAGCTTCTTATCTATGCCATGATCCTCCTACCTATGCCTCCCATGTAGCTGGGATCACAGACACATATTATCATGCCCCGTTTATTTATTGAGATAGGGCCTCACTGATTTCCCGCTCCCCCCTCCCCCCCCTAAGCTGGCCTTGAACTATGATCCTCAACTCCCAAGTATCCGGGATTAAGGCATTAAGGCATGGGCATGGCCTCATATGAGTAACTTTAAATCCCATGAAATTCTGTTCCCGGTTAATTTACCAGTTTCTCTACCTTAATTTTCACAATGAACTTATTTAACTATCTGTGGCCTAAACTTTCCATTTTACCTATATGAAAATAAAGGTATTTTATATGAAAATAAAATACAGAAGTTGGAATCTACACAGGGATTTTAATCAATAATAAATTTTAAAATGTAACCAGATTTTACTGAAATAACATCTGTATTAAAGTTACAGGAACCTTAATTAAAGTTCTGGTTACTAATCTTCATGTAAATGGTAAAACAAGCCAAGATCATTTCCCTCCTGAACTTCTATATTTTTTGATAAAATGAAAAGTTTAGGCTACAGATAGTTAAAGTAAAAGTTTCTTTGTATTTAATAAATGTATTAAAGTCTGGAAATTTTTCTGAATGCTTATCTGTATGTGAGCTTTAAATTACTTCTTTAGTTGTCATTCTACATATTTTGTTTTATTTTTATTTCCTCTATGCATCATGAATCACCTATCAGTGTATTGTTCTTTATGTGCAGTATTTTAACATTTCAAGGTATACAATTTGGGCTTTTTCTATCAATCTTATATTTTTGATTTCTGGTCTTCTATTATAGTTAGTTACTGTGGCATGTTTGACATTTTAATTTTTCATTTTGCTCACACTTCCTTTGTAGTATCATTTGTTTTTATTAATCTTGCCATTGAAGTTGAAAGGAATGTATGTTCTTCGTTGAAAGTAGAGTTAGACTTGTATCTATCTGTGTGTATGTATATATATGTATAATTTGTTAACTGTATTACTCAAGTCTTCTATACCTTTTTCACTTGATGATTTTGACTATGAACAAGTGTGAAAGTTACCCATTTTGCCTAAGACAAGGTATTATGTGCTAGAACATTTCACAGACAATTCCTTATACAATCTTCTGTTATACCGTCCTTTAATTATCAGTTTTACTCTCAATTGTTTTGACATTAATAATATTAGCATTTCACCCTCTTTTCCCATCCTTTCTTTGCAATATTATGCTATATATCTCCAGTAAACAATGTATAGTTCAAGGGTGGAACATCCAGACCAGAGGCCACCTAAAGCCCCCAAAAAGTAATTTGTTCTAGCCCTACCAAAGTAACCACAAGAAAGATTCACAATTAAATAAATGTAAGAATATTTTTCCATAGCAAAATAAATTTGCATTAAGTGAATCATAATAACAATGAAAATTTTGAGGGATAAGCAAGAAACATCCATTACAGGATAGACAGGACACATATGAATATATGACAGAACACCCTTGCACTTCTTGTGGGCTGCTCCATAGCCCATCTACCTGTACTGAAGTGACTCAATGCCAGGCAAGCTGGGAGTATACACATTGTGAAATAGTTAACACACTGTGGCAAAACAATGGCAACCCAATGATGATGAGATGATATGAGATGAGACAACTCCTCCTGACACTGATGACCTTGTCACTCAGGATTCACCAGATCCTCATTGAGGATTTTTTTGTTGACACAGATGATAACTCAAATCCAACCTTTATTTACATGCTCATAATCAATAATCCTTCCCAAAACGTAATCTCGGATGAAGATTAAACTAATTATAGTGCACAGAACTGAAGAGGGGATTATATGAGTGGTAGATATGTTTAAAATACAAGATGCAGGATTAGAACAGAAATCGAAGTAATAATCACATCACTGGCAAAACACTGTAAAGTTATTGTAAAGTGAGATCCTACAAATGGAAACTACAAAGAAAAATAGAACAAACCTCTGACATTTCCAACAGAACAGTTATTTCTTTTGTACCTAGTTTCTGGTGATAGAAAGGAGTAATGAAAATAACCTATCTGGAAAGGTCTTACAGATCAAAACTTGCAAAAGTCAATGAATTGGCACACCAGATGCATCTGGATAAAATAAAATAAAGACACAATAAGCCACTTTTACCAGGTCTCCTCATGACAGAGACAAAATTATTCAGAAAAGGCTATGTAGTGAGTAAGCTAGTCACAAAGAAGGTAAGGCCTCCTATAGAGGGACGGTTGGTTTAAATAAAAGCATCCATTTGTTTGTTTGATAGTTGTTAGCATCACACAAAGAAAATTGTTTTAATGTCTTAGTTTGTCTTGGAGAATAATAGCCTAAATTGAGATTAGTGACTTTACACAAGCTATTATAGAACAAAACAAAACAAAACTCTGAAGGGTTCTGAAGGAGATTTCCAATTTTCTGTCTGGCCTGTGGTGAGACAACAGACATAACAAATACTGCCTAACTGGTTGTTTTCATATGTTCAGTAACTGTAGATTTCGACATGTCAGAGGAACTGCTGCCTTTGGGAGCCATCAATGATAAAGAAGTCAACATCATCATCAACCATGAGAGGCCAGGTGATCAATTCTCTCAAACAAGACTTGTTTTATCAATGGGAAAAATCGTTGAGCTAACATTTGACGAGCTAAATGGCCTTACTACAGATGGAACTCAAAACATGTCTCGCTCAGAAATCAATTAATTGAATTTGCCAAGAAAGAACTTCGTCATCTTTATCCAAATGATTTGTCTACATGCTGTATATAGCCATTGTGATTCATCAATGTGAGATCAGCAGTAATGTTAGTATAAATTTTACCAAAAGCAAAGGGTTTGGCAGCAGCTAGCTGACTTGACACTGAGTACAGTGATTTGTTTACTATTGTGAAGTGTGGAGGCTGAGTGCGGGAAACATGTTCTTGAGATTTTTATGAACTATGGGATGAAGTCAAGCAGTTTATGGAAATGAAGGAAAATCCTGTCAAGGAACTCAATGCCTAAGGTTAAGCTGCAGAGCCCAAACCAGATTCTCAGCTCCCTGCTTTCAAACATAAAATCACCTAAACCTAAACTAAGGTTGTGTAAAATACAACTAGAAAGGAATAATACCTTGCACTTATTTCCTCACTCTGGAAGATCCATTATGGCAAACTAATTGAAGCATTTAATAAAAGGTTCAAAGACGTCAAAAGTTACATTGTTACATTGTTCACTGTAGACCCAGGTGATATGCCTGATAACCTATTACAAGAAATCACTCACCTACAAGTAACAATGAACTAAAATCTAGGTATACTTTCATAGGTAGCCATAAGCAATAATGAATTTCCCACTTTAGGAAAATATGCACTGAAATATGTATCTGTATCTGGAACAATTTACTGCTACAAGCCGTTCTTCTCAAAATTTACTATCACAAAAGTTAACTATGTTCTAGACTAACATACAAACATAGAATATATCAGTAACATGTATACACACCTCACCAGAAAGGAGCAGCAGTTCCAGCCATCACAGTAGAGGTGAGTTAATTACATGTTTGGCCAAATATAGAAGGCTAATTTTTAAATTGATAATTTGTATGGCCTGTGAATGGTGTTATAAATATCCAAATGGCCCTTGATAGAAAAAAGGTTCCCTGGTATAGTTATATATAGGTATTTTATTTCTTTACCAGTATGAGTTTATATTTGTTAATAGAAAAGGTTAGCCTTTCATTTTATTAGAAGAAAAAACTCACTAAAATAAGTCCATAACAAAAGGATGTACTACAATGACAGTAATAAGTTTTAACAATAACATAATTTCAAAATAGCAAATGGCTTAATCAAGGAAATGAGATTTTAATCTGTAACATAGTATATACAATAAATATATGTTCAGACTTAACTCATTATATCATACAACAGACCTACAAGGAAAAATAGGTAAACCAATAAATGTAGTTTTAAGGTTTAATACTTATACACAGGCAAAAAGTAATAAGAATTATGAGTTACTTTAAAATTAAAATATCAGGGGCTGGGAAGGTGGCTCACTGGTAGAGTGCTTGCCTTGTATGCACGAGGCCCTGGGTTCGATTCTTCAGCAACACATAAGCAGAAAAAGCCAGAAGTGGTACTATGGTTCAAGTGGTAGAGCACTAGCCTTGAGCTGAAGAGCTGAGGGACAGTGCCCAGGCCCAGAGTTCAGGCTCCACAACTGACAAAAATAAATAAATAAATAAAATATCAATCTTGGGCTATTAAATGTAATTCATCGAATTCTTTACCTAATGAATTGAAAATAAGCATTCTCTAGAATACATTATGCAGCCAAAATAATAGAATACTTTGGCCATAAAAATATATATTCCAGAAGATCAGATTCATACAGTCTATGTAATTCTAATGCCAATGTTGTAACTAATGATAGATGAATAGCTAAAAACTAAACCTCATGCTTCTGGAAACAAAATAATCCTTGGGTTAGATAGAAATAATGAAACTAATTGGAAAACATTTAGAACTACATTATTATGAAATCAAATGATTCTTAAGGGGAAAGACAAGACACTAAGTACATTTATCAGGACACAAAACAGGCAAAACAATTAAAATGCATAACAATAACATCTATTCTAACCATTCAAACTAAGCCAGGAGAAAGAGTAAGAAATAAGAAAAGACAGTGTCAGATATGAATTAAGTCATGAGAATTAATAAAAAAAACATTTTTGAAATGATTGCTAAAATGTACAGATATATCCTGAGATTAATCTAAAGATTAAAAATGAGATAGAAGCTGGGTACCGGTGGCTCATGCCTATAATGCTAACTACTCAGGAGGCTGAGATCTGAGGATCACGGTTCAAAGCCAGCCTGGGAAGGAAAACCCATGAGACTCTTATCTCCAATAAACCACTAGAAAACCAGAAGTGGCACTGTGCTCGTGGTAGAGTGCTCGCCTTGAGCTGAAGAGCCCAAGGATATTAAAATCTGTAAATGTGTAACATTTGCAACTACATATTTGTGATATATCCTCCATTTTAAAATCATCTCTACCTACATATTATTTACAATACCTAATGCAATGTAATTGCTATCAAATAATGGTTATAATAGATAAATCAATAAACATGGTTTTAAGGTTTAATGTGGTCTTTCTGAGCTTATACACAGGCAAACAATAAAACAATGACAAGAAAAATAACAAGATCGTGGTTCAAAGCCAGCCCGGGCAGGAACATCCATGAGACTCTTATCCCCAATTAACTGCCAGAAAACCGGAATGACCAAAAAGAAAGAAAAGAAAAGAAAGAAGTTAGGAAGTTAGGAAGGAAGGAAAGAAGGAAGGAAAAAAGAAAGAACGAACGAAAGAAAGAAAGAAAGAAAGAAAGAAAGAAAGAAAGAAAGAAAGAAAGAAAGAAAGAAAAGGAAGCTGGGTGCTAGTGGCTTATGCCTGTAATCCTCCTAGCTACTCAGAAGGCTGAGATCTGAGGATCACGGTTCAAATCCAGCCCATGCAGGAAAATCTGTGAGACTCTAATCTCCAATAAACCACTAGAAAACTGGAAGTGACACTGTGACTCAAGTGGTAGAGCACTTGCCTTGAGCTGAAGAGCACAGGGACAGTGTCCAAGCCCAGAGTTCAAGCCCCATGACTGACAAAAAAAAAAGGCAGGTTGTCTCTCATATGTGGAAGCTATATCTTTGGAGAAAAAAAATTACATGAATATACATGGGAGAGTACTTGGTGTGAAGTGGGAGGGGGAAAGTGGAGAATATGATAAAATATACATTGTACTTATGTATGAAAAGTCAAGCAAATTTATTTTTTAATTGCAAGAGAAATAAAAAAGAGAGATAAGAAAGAGTAATAGAGGAAGTGAATGTTATCAAAGTATATTATATGTATATATGTTACAATGAAACACCCCACATTTCATAATTAATATGAGCTAATAAAAATGTGGAACCAAAATTCCAACTAATTAAAAATGTATACTTAACAGATATCAGCTAATCCTTTGATTTGGGGGAAAAGGAGATATGATAAAAACAGAGAAGGGCATGTTACTTTGCCTCTTCCCTTACTCTTTTTTTTTTTTTTTGGTCAGTTGTGAGGCTTGAACTCTGGGCCTGAGTGCTGTCCCTCAGCTCTTCAGCTCAAGGTGAGTGCTCTACCATTGAGCCACAGCACCACTTCCAGTTTTCTGGTGGTTAATTGGAGATAAGAGTCTCATGGACTTTCCTGCTTGGGCTGGCTTTGAACCACAATCCTCAGATCTCAGCCTTCTGAGTAGCTAGGATTACAGGCATGAACCATCAGTGCCCAACCCTTCTTCCCCTTTTCTATTATCACTCTTTCCTTAACGTGTCCCTGGTTATCTTTAATATAGATGCAGAGCACAAGAGAAATAAATAATAATTCTATTTTTTTAATTTTTATTTGTTTTTGGAGGAGGGCTTCATACTTGCTAGGAAATCACTCCATCACTTGAGCCATGCCTCCAGTCCTGCTTGTTTACTAGTTATTTTGGAGATGGAGTCTAGTGAACTTTTCTGCCTGGGCTGCCATGAGCTTCCAGCTCTCAGCCTCTTGAGCAGCTCAGTAGCAATTACATTAGTTCTACTTCCATTTCAAGCAATAGAAAAACTCCACTTTATTAAGCCAAAAGGGAAAACTGTTAGCTTATAATATTAAAAAGTATTAGGGTGTATCTGATTGGATCTGAAACTCAATCACCAGGGTTGTGTGAGTCTTTCAGTCTCTTGGCTCTGCTTCCCTCTCTTTTGCCTCTAAATTCAGATAGGCTTTTGAAATAACAGTTGTGGTATGACTGCACGTCTCATTGTGTGGGGCGGGGTCAAAGGTAGGGAAGGAATTCTGTCTCTTTGCTGATGGTTCCCTTAAGAGTCCTGAGCTTCCACTCTGTGTTAGACATCCGGAGTTGTATGCCCACCTATCCTTGCCCACTAATCACACAGCAGCACTCTTCATTTTTATACAAAGGTAGATCTCTTACCCTACCTCAACCACATAGAGTAAGAATAGGCAATTGGTGTGCATCAAATGAACATCAGGAACTGTTGCTGGAAGAAAACAAATGTGTTTGATGGAAGCAAGCAATAATTTTACCCAAAGGAATTTTCACCAGTTTTGTGGTATGGGTATTTTTATCATTCACTATTCCCCTAAAGTTACACTTTTCCTGCAACAAATGGAAACCTGCTTCCTGATCTTCTAGAGTTAGCAAAAACATTGCACTTTATAGGACCTTCAAAAACTTCCACAATCTCAGAGAAAAGGGGAGTCAACTCATGAAGAAAAGTCCTTGAGAAAGAAAAAGATGTATATTGCTTGTTTTTCTCTCTCAAGGGAAACACACACATACAAATATATATGCAAACATTTAATCAAGCTAAGAGTGCCTGTATTGGGTTCCCCAGTTCTGTAAGACTTTATAGTTATGCAATACTAATAATTATCACTTATTGAATATCTGCCACAATGCCAGGCAAACTGCCAGACCATTGACATACAATTCATTTAATACCCTCAAGAACCATGCAAAGTAGATACTATTATCCTCCCT